CCAATCTCTCATCCTATCTCAATCCTGTCTCGCATCTCATCTCTCATCCCGTCTCTCACCCCGTCTCAATCCCATCTCTTATCTAGTCTAAAATTCCTTCTCTCACCCCATCTCTCATCCCATCTCTCATCCCGTCTCACCTCTCATCCTGTCTTCCATCTCGTCTCTCATCCTGTCTCATCCTGTCTCATCCCTTTCTGTCATCCCGTTTCTCATCCCATTTTCATACCATCTCTTGTCCTGTTTCACATCCAGCCTCACATCCAATCTCTCATCCTATCTCAATCCTGTCTTGCATCTCATCTCTCATCCCGTCTCTCATCCCATTTATCATCTTGTCCCTCATCTCATCTCTTATTCCATCTCACATCCCATCATCCCATCTCACCCTCTCATCCTGTCTTCCATCCCGTCTCACATACAGTCTCATCCCGTCGCTCATCTCACAAAATAGTTTTAGTTCGGATGTAAAGAACAAAAACACACTTCTGTTGTGCACGAGTAAAGCATCTAGTAAAACAAGTGGATCTGCGTGGATGCAGGCGGAGGAGTCAGAATGGCTGACTTCAGATGCACCAGAGCTCCATGCTCAACTGGTTCAACAAAACAAACGTTTTAGAAGTAAATTAATAAATATTTTAGTTTTTTAAAGATGAAAACCCTCCAGGTACAACACAGTGTGAGTTTCATCATCAAATATGTAAAAAAAAAAAAAGCTTTTTCCCCAGAAATAATGCCATAAAACAGCTTCTGTCACGTCTTTTTACAAAAAGAGTTTTCCCAGCAGCGGATCTTGAGTCCTCGCTGACTTCACTTCCTCTTCTTATGACATCAGCTGATGTTCTCCATAAAAACATGAATTTAAACTCTTGTAAATGAGGCTCAGTGGGACTAACCTGTATAAATAAAGGTTGAATTAATTAGTTTTGGGTTCTTGTTTGCAGAAAGGTGACAAATGGAAAACACCATTTTAAACTGTGGCTCATAGTTTAAATAGTTTGAGATAAAAATAAAACCGGACCAGACGAAAACACGAGCAGATTCAACGGAGCAGAGCAGAGCTCTTCATTTTCACCATCATTTAGTTATGTGTGTCTGTTAGCAAAATATCTCCACAACCACTGGCCAGATTCTAATCAAACTCACAGAAAGTAATCAATGAAGTGCATCCACAAGATGGCCGACAGAGCTAATCAATCTTAACCCATACAAAAATGACAATGAATCAGCCAGTTCTACAGAGACTGAGCTGAAACCTGGCGTGGTAGTAGCTGAGAGTGATCTCTAACAGATGCTCTGAGTGCTACACTTTGTGCAGCAGCTTTGCCTAAAACTTAGATTAGATGGTCCATCTGTTAGCAAAATATCTCATGAACCACTGGCAGGACTTTAACCCTTTGAAGTTCCTTTAAGTCTGTAACAAGAAGTGTTCCTGAGGGGGAAAATGTTTTTTATTTGGGTTTTAGTCCAAAATAAACCAGTCAGTTGTTGAAAGCGAAATAAAAACATCAAGTTTAAAAAACATTTTATTTTAACATCTTATGGGTTTTTAGTTTTACAAACTTCATAATTCAAGTTTTTAAATTTAACAGTTTATCAGTGTTTTGGCAATTTTTGAAGAAAAACAACAAAAAGAAGTTAATTTCCACCCTTTAGGACTCCCACATGAATTCTTTTGACGTTTTTCTTTTTACCAAAGTTCATGCTCAGTAAACCAGCAAGGTTCAGTCTGGTTTGTCTTTTTAGTTCCAGTCTGGAGGTTTTGTGAGACCCTCCACCCCCACCCAGTCTTCCAGGTGCAGCAACAGGCCAAGATGCCCCATTATGGGTCAAGTCTGCACGAGTCAGCAGCTTTTTATTTATTTTTCTTTCTAAAATCTTTTACTGCCCTTTCAGTCCTCCGATGTCGTGCTTTTGGTCCACGGTCAGGATGGCTCTTCAGCCTGCGTGCACGTGGGTCTACTGCTTTCCACCAAATGTTTACTCGTGCACAACACGAGTGTGTTTGTTCTTTACAAACCACCTAAAACAGATTTTTCAGATTAAACTGGAGAGCGGACTCCACAGCATCGCCTGGTGTTGCAGGTGCACCATCTAGTGAGCTAACGTAAAGTTTAAAGGGAATGAACTGAAAATAAATAACTGAATAACAAAAAGAATGCATTTTATGAAATGATAAATATGGGATCCAAAACACATTTGTAACGGGTTTCAATAGGTCAAGACTTAAGGCTAGTAAAGTGACTGGGAGTGAGAGGGAGGATTTGAAACAATTCTGTACTAAGTTACAGAATTTTCAAAAGATTTTTAGGATTTAAACTGTCGTATTTATTAAAAACACCAAAAATGAAAAATAAAAACACAAACAAAACTAACGGATGGCTGATTTTTACTTAAAAGACCTTCGGTGGGCTCATGAAACTCATCAAATAAACGTTTGTTGGTCTTCTGCAGCTCACTAACAGCTGGAGTCAACCCAAATCAAGATGGCCGCCATAGCTAGCTTAACTAATACCAACATGGACATGACACTTTTACACAAGCTGAGCTAAATTTAGTTGTGGTAGTAGCTAAAAGTCATGAAATATGACAATGCGCCGCTGAGGATGTAACGCGCAGAGATAATGAGGCGAGTGACTGCAGCTGAGACAGGTGAACAGGGTGCAGGTGTAAGTGGGCGTGGCTGAAGAACTGAAGAGTAAAGACGAAAACATGTGAAACCGTAACGACTGTTGACATTAATATCCCAGTTATCAGTACAGTAGTCCCTCGTTTATTGCGGGGCATCCATACCCTGAAGCCCCGCGATAAGTGAAAAACCGCGAAGTAGGAATAGTAGTACAAGTAGTAAGCAGTAGTAGTTCGTTTTAGTGTGTGTGTGTATATGTATATATATATAAAGGTATTTTGAAAAACTGCCCACACTTACAATATTCTAAACAATGTTTCTAAACTCTAAACGCTCTGAAAGAGCACAGGATGTCGTGATTTCAGCTCCCTGCCTCCGGCTGCGCTCTTGGCCACACCCACTTCTCCGCTCTGCACGAAGAAGCTCCTCCCACAGCAGGTGCTAAATAATTTAAAATAATTTATTTTAAATAAAATAATCCATACCGATCGTGCGGCTCATCCATCAATCAGCCAACTTTGAAAAACCGCGATAGAGTGAGTCCGCGAAAAACGAACCGCGAAGTAGCGAGGGACTCCTGTATTTGAGTTTTTTTGTTTAACTTGGAAGAAAAATGTCAACAATAATCGGTGCTGTTCTCCTCTTGCCCTCAGGATGGCGCCAGAGGTCGCAGCCGTGGAGATTAAAGGCGGCTACAACGAACTTTGTGATATCTGGTCCGTGGGCATCACCGCCATCGAGCTAGCAGAGCTACAGCCTCCGATGTTCGATGTCCACCCACTACGGTAATCGCTCAGCAAAACGCTAAACGTTCACCTCGAAACAAACACAGAACCAGAAAATAACTTCAGGTCTGACTGAGCCGGATCTCGAGCTCAACGTTTACTGTGTTTCATTTATATTTATACCTCACACCTACCAAACAGGAAGTTCCTAAATTAACAAGGTGTGATGTTCCAGTTTGAGCTGGACATCTTTAGGTTTCTTTTTCTGGTTTGTTCCATCGCACAGTGAGCCGTTGTTGATCCATCACAGGTCGTTTTCATCATGTTGATGAGTTTTTACAATAAACGTCTCCCAAATTCACAACGTTGTTTGCACCAAAACGTAACTACGAACAAAATACAGTCGTTTACAAAACTTTTCAAGCAATAGTTTATGCACAGTAGAAGGTGGAACATGAGACACGTTGTGTAGCGTCTTCTTTCCTCGTAGCAGCTGGAACTCTGAGCAGACCAGTTAGCCGTGAACTTTAGGAGGGAAACGAAACGTCAAACACTAAAACCATTAAAGGTCTGAACTGCACCTGGACTCTTTCATTACAAAGGTCCTCTGCTGTAAGACTGAAGTTTAGGTTCGTCTTGCTGAAATGTGCAAAACGTCCCCTGAGACACATTTCATTAGGATGGAGTGTTTGTTCCTGTCAGACAACCTGAAGACCTTTTCAGATGAACATGATGTCTAAGAAGCTCTAAAGCACTCGCACCATGAGGTCTTCTTTCAGCTGTTCCCTCTCCAGGGGTCTCCACAGTGAGACCTCCTCTGTCCTCACCCCAACTACCTCCATGTCCTCTCTAACTGCATCCATGTATCTCCTCTTTGTCTTTTCCCTGGCAGCTGCATTTCTAACATCCTTCTACCAGTATACCCACTGTCCCTCCTCTGGACATGTCCAAACCACTGTCCCTCCTCTGGACATGTCCAAACCACTGTCCCTCCTCTGTCCAAACCATCTCAGTGTGTCCTCTCTAACTTTATCTCCCAGTTGTTCAACCTGTGCTGTACCTCTGATGATCTCAATCCTAATCTTCTCCATCCTTGTCATTCCTAAGGAGAACCTCAACATCTTCATTTCTGACACTTCCAGTTCTGTCTCCTGTCTTTTTGTCCATGTCTCTGTCTCCAGAACATACAACATAGCTGGTCTCACCACTGTCTTTTAAACTTTTCCTTTGACCTTTGCTGACACCTTTTTGTCACAAATCACTCCTGAAACTTTTCTCCATCCACTCCATCCTGCCTGGACTCTCTTCTTCACTTCTTTACCACACTCCACATGTTCCTGCACAGTGGACCCCAAGTCCTTGAAGTCCTGCACCTTTGTGACCTCTGCTCCTTGTAGCCTCACTGTTCCACCTCCTCCCTCTCATTTACACACATGGACTCTGTCTTACTACGGCTGACTTTCATTCCTCTTCTTTCAAGTGCATACCTCCACCTCTCCAACTTCTCTTCCACCTGTTCCCTGTTCTCACCACAGATCACAATGTCATCTGCAAACATCATCGTCCATGGGGATTCCTGCCTGACCTCATCTGTCCGTCGTTCCATCAGCAGAGCAAACAAGAAGGGGCTCAGAGCCGATCCTTGATGCACTCCCACCTCCACCTTGAAGCTATCTGTCACTCCTACAGCACATCTCGCCACTGTCCTGCTGTCCTCATACATGTCCTGTTGTCTTCATACAACCCCACAGCCCGTCCCTCAGGACCCTGTCAGATGTTATTTTGTAAATCCACCAAGACCGGACTAAGTTCTTTCTGAGCCTGTTCTCCATCAGCATCCTCAGAGCAAAGTGAGGTGAAGCAGTAAAAACTAACTTTATGGTGTCTCTGCTCATCTGTTCAGAGGATGAGGGGTTTACACTTTTCTTACTTTATCTTGAAACGAGCTTTAGCTCAGGGAAGATGTTTTTGGATCGACCTGTTTGTGGTCAGCCTGGTGATCTGTATTTGTTCGTTACGACAGAACGCTGTTTGTTGGGCTGAACGTTTCCATCACAGAAAGGAGGCTGCAGTTCCACTCCGGCCTTCAGTGGGGAGTTTTCTGGTTGGACAATTGGCGTTCGATGTTAGTTTATGTTTGCGTGTCTTGTGATGGACTGTCTCTTGTTCACAAAATAATATCCATTTCCATTTTTCTTCCTTCTATCTGTGACTGGGTCACAGAGGATCAGGAGGAGAACCCAGATCTTGCTCTCTCCAGTGATGCTCTTCAGCTCCTTCTAAGGGATCCTGAGGTGTTCTCAAACCAGAAAGATTATATAATCCTCCTAGCAAGTCCATGGGTCTTCCCCAGAGTCTCCTCCTGGTGGGACATGCCCAGTCTTCACTAAAAGGAGGCGTCCTAATCAGATGATGAAGCTCCTGAACTTAGAGCAGTACAGCCGAGCCCAGCTGCCCGACAGTCCGCTTGTATCCGGGGTTTTGCTTTTTCTGTTGTGATCCGGACCTCAAGACCACAGGGGAGGGTTGGACCGCAGACGGACCAGTAAAAGGAGAGCTTCACTTTTTGGCTCGGCTCCTTCTTCACCACAACAAACCGGACCGACGCCCTCATCATTAGAAACAAGACCTAAATTTGTCGGTACACCTCTGGTTTCTAACAGCGTCTCGTTAACTGACGTTTAATCATTTATTATTTGTTTTTTCCTTATAGAGTTTTGTTTCTCATGTCGAAGAGCGGCTACCAGCCCCCCAAACTGAAGGACAAATCAAAATGGTAAAAACACACAACTCTGTTAAAATACATTCAAATCAAGTCTAATTTATTTAGAATTTATTTATACAGCTCTTTTAAGAACTGCCAAAGTGCTGCACACAAAGCAAATTACACAAGAGCAACAGAAAACGGCAACAAAAACAACATGAAATAGAACTAACATCAGTACAAATGTGTCTTAAGAAGAGACAAAAGCGCCGCGAGTTGAAGCCTCTGTGGTACATTATATTTAATAATGCTACAGCTAGAACACATTAACTTGATATGAGCTCATCTTTCTGATCGTTGATGTAACGACACGTCTTCTGTCTGCAGGTCGTCTAATTTCTACAACTTTGTGAAAGCCATGTTGGTGAGGAACCCGAAGAAAAGACCGAGCGCCTCCAAGATGCTCTCAGTCAGTACCGCTCGCTCACAGCTGACGGTTCATGTTGGTGCGGCCTCACGTCTCCGTCGGACTCAAAACTAAATCTGTATTTCAGAAACACCGGCCGCTTTATGTCGTGTTCTACACCGTTTAAATAATTAGAACTTGTGGGTCATAAAACACAGAGTGTAACAAAATCATATTCATTTCAAAAGTTTCCAGAGGAAATTTTAGCTTTAACTGTTAAAAAAGATAAAAAAAAACAATAACCATAAATCAAAATAAATGGATTTAAAAAGTGTTTGACAGGTTTTTGTGGTTAAACGTTATCAGTGTTTGTTCGTTCAGCAGGTGTCGGGGTCACGAGTTTCTGTGACTTTTAATCTGCAGATTCAAAAACGAAATGTTCAATAAAAAATAAGAAAAACCTCATTATGAGCTAAAGGTAGCTAAACCACAGGTACAAGCTGAAACTATCCAAACTGTAATTACAAGCTAAAAAAAAAGCTAAATCATAATTAAAAGATTAAATTAGCTCAACTGTAGCTAAAAGCTGCAACCAGCAAAACAGTAGCTACAAAACAAAACTTATCAAAACTGTAGCTACAAGCTAAAATGAGCTGCATCACAGCTACAAGCTAGAGTTGTCTAAACCATAGCTAAAAGCTCAAATAAGCTAAATCTGAGTTAAAAGTTGCTATAGATTTGTTTTGTAGCTAGTTTTGCTGATTGCAGCTTTTAGCTAAGCTAGAATTGTCCAAACCATAGCTACAAGCCAAAATAAGTAACATCTGAACTAAAAGCTGCAATCAGCTAAACAGTAGCTACAAAACAACTCTATCAAAATTGTAGCCACAAGCTAAAATAAGCTACACCACAGCTACAAGCTAGAATGAGCTAAAGCACATCTGTTGTTTTCTGGATATTTTTTGTCTTCAACCGTCAGCTGGACTTAAAGAAATTATTTTAAAACGTCTCTTTGGTCATTTGATCACTAATGGGCATAGTCGTTAAAATACTGAAGTCTGCCTGCTCATCAGCGGCCTCCGTCGCCCTGTGTGATGAGTTCTCTGTGTCTCTGTCTGCAGAACATTTTTCTGACCCAGCTGGGTCTGAACCGGGATCTGACCCTGGACCTGCTGGAGAAATACAGAAATCCTGACAAGCTGAAAACCTGCGTGGCGACAGAGGACGACGAGATGGAAGTGAGATCATTTAACTTGTTTCAAAAGCAGATTATCGTGGTTCAGTCATGTCAAGCTGCAGGTTATGGGAAAAATAAAAACCATTATGTACTTTGTATATTTGTTTGTGCTAAATCATAATCCGTTTAAATTAATTTTAAATACTGATTGATACTCGATTGATACCTGGACTTTTATTTCCTTTAATCATTTTTTCCTCGAGTTCAGAAACTGTAAAGTCAGAAAAAGTTTGTTTACCTGTTTACTTGTTTACATGTGTGTTGCCTCTGACTCCAGGTGGCGCCTTCCTCATCATTTAGGCGGATCCAGTCCATTAACAAACACAACCGGGCTGAGAGGACCAACTCTGACATAAGCTGTAAGGAAACAACTTCAGTTCCACATTTTTCCATTTATTTTTGGTAATTTAATGAGAAATGTACGATGACTCATCAGGGCTACTGTAAACAAAGTAACTGATCAAAGGAGATGGAGGTGAAGCAAAATCCAAGAAAATTCTCAGCAATTCTTCCATTAATGTGATATATTTACATGAAAACTTTTTCTCTTATGTTGGAAAGCCCTAAAGTTACCAGAAAAAAAAATCACATTTTCCATTAATAAAAAATACATTTACAAGATTAAAACTAGGATATTATCGTCATAAATTTGAGAGACAAAAAGTCAAAACCTTAAAAATAAAAGGTAAAAATTTCACAACAAAGGGGGAAATGGATGCTCGATGGCCCGATAATGAACACGGAGGTACAACAGACAGTAACGTCACGTTGAATATTTCTTATAATCTGAGATGGTCCTAAAATCTACAATGGCACTAAAATCTATGATGCAGCTAAAATCTCGTATTGTCCTAAAACCTATGACATCACTTACAGACCATCACAGAAACGTGACTTGTGTAATGTTGAATAAAAATATGACCATTGAGCACAATAAATGGCACAAACTGTATCTAAATGTGTTCTTTTGTTGTTTTAATGACCCATATTGTTGTGACTCTGAAGATATTTGAGTTTTTAATGTTTCTGCAGATATCCTGTGGTATATCTAAATAAATCAAATTAATAAGTGTCAAGTGTTTCTTCTTCATTTGTTGCTGCTCAGTCGAACAGATTTACACTCAGAGGCCGACGAAGACCGACTCGCCAAACTTAACGGTAAATCTGCATTTTGAAGTATTTTCACTGCATATTTCACACGTATACATTTAGATAATGTTTATATTCATTCTCTGTACAGATACATGTGTAATTTATGCATATTTATATTTAATGTGTAAACAATCTGCCCAACAAATGCAAAAGCAGACAAAAGTTTAGACACATCTAAGCTTTTATAATGTAAAAACAAATGTTTCAAATAAACTGGGTAAACGGCAAAATAAAAATAAAAAATAACCATTTCAATTCAGAAGTACATGCATTTAAAGACCGACCAGCTAATTTTGTTTTACAGTTAGGATCAATGGGATCAAGAGGCGGTACCAACAGTCCTACGAGGTAACCGGGTCACGAAATAATCCCAAACATGGAGTCAAATAAAAAACATTTCTGATCCAATCAGTGACGCTCACTGTTTGTTTCAGGGAGGCAGACACAGACTCAGATGACTACGATGATGTTGGCATGTAAGAAATCATAAACGTTACCAAACCTTGTTTTTTTAGACATTATTCCGTTAGATTCAAAGTATAAGAAGTTCTTTTTCTTGTTTTTTCAGCCCTACGATACAACCGTCCAGGTGAGCCGAGCAGACCCAGCGTCTCGACCCGTTTCCATGTTTTAAAACCGCAGACTGTAGAAACTTTTTATCTCTGCTCAACAGTCTGTTAACGGCAGAAGCTCTAACGCCACCTCCACTTCCTCCAAAGGTGATTATTCACTAGAGAAATACACACCTGTGTGATTTAAATGCTTCTTACAGCAAAAACTGTTCAAACTGCTTCCAGGTTATCAAGACTGTTTTATTAAAACACAGCGTGTAGTTGACAATTGTTAGACTGCTTTTTATTCTTGCAAAGACAAAAATATTTAAATGTCCTAACAAGTTCACATAAGATGAGATAAGATGAGATGAGATTAGATGAGATAAGATAATATGAAATGAGATGAGATAAGATGAGATGAGATAAGAAAAGATAAGATGAGATGAGATAAGATAATATGAGATGAGATAAGATGAGATATGATGAGATAAGATGAGATGAGATAAGATGAGATAAGATAATATGAAATGAGATAAGATCAGATGAGATGAGATGAGATAAGAAAAGATAAGATGAGATGAGATAAGATAATATGAGATGAGATAAGATAATATGAGATGAGATAAGATGAGATATGATGAGATAATGTGAAATGAGATGAGATGAGATAAGATTAGATAAAATTAAATAATATGAGATTATATTAGATAAAATAAGATGAGATTAGATAAAATGAGATAAGATAAGATGAGATGAGATAAGATTAGATAATATGAGATTAGATTAGATTAGATAAAATGAGATGAGATGAGATAAGATAAAATGAGATGAGATGAGATAATATGAGATAAGATTAGATTAGATAAAATGAGATTAGATAAAATGAGATAAGATGAGATTAGATAAAATTAGATAAGATAATATGAGATTAGATAAGATGAGATAAGATAAGATGAGATCAATGTAACAGGGATACATCCCAGTAACAGGGATACATCCCTGTTACTGGGATGTAACAGGGTCCCAGTTACATCCAACAATAAAATGTAAAAGAAAAACAGTAATAAAATCTAAGATATGAACTGAGAAAAACATCAACTAAATATACACTAAGCACTCATAACATAAAAACATTACATAAAAAATAATATGAGATGAGATAAGATGAGATGAGATAAGATAAGATAAAAGATAAGATAAGAAAAAATAAGATAAGATAAGATAGAACTTTACTGATCCTGTAAGAAATTGTTGTGCCAGAGTTTCAACAACACAGTGCTAAGAAAATTCATCCAAATGTGGATTAAAAACTGCAAATAAGTTTTTCTTCAGAGCTTCAGTTGTTTATTATAAAAGTCCATTTTCCAACTCTGAGGAAAAAATGATCATCTGAGTCATAATTACAAGTTTTTATCTCAAAATTATGATTTAGCATCCCTAAAGTATGAAGTGTTAAGTTGAATATTAGATATTAAGTGATATTATGAGATGCTACGCTAATTATAAGGTGTAAAGTCATAACTTTGAGACACTAAGTCAGAATATGGCATAGCATTTTTTCAATAAAGAAGCAATAATGGGCTTCCATTGTAGTTTAAACCAAACTTCCTTTCCTGTTTTTTTTCCCGCCTGCAGCCTAAAGCTCGTACCAGCTCAGAAGAAAGCATAACGGCTGATGACGACCGAACAAAAAAACCCAGCTCTCTGCACGCCGTCTCCTCTCTCATCAGGACCTCCAGCGGGACACACGTCCGACCCAAGCCCAGCCCACGAGCCTTACGGCACTCAGGTGAGCCGCACCACTTTTATTCTGAAGGTGAGCGGTTACGATGTAGAGCTATGAGTGCATGTTTTGTGTTTTAATTAAAGAAATGTGTTTTCAGACTTGAAACAAGAAGTGATAAATATGAAAGATATCAGAATAAAATATCTTATAACTTTTTAAGTAAACAAATCAGAGTCAGAGATTCTTTATTGTCATTCGCACCTCATGTGGTACATGTGGTGGAGCGAAATTATGTACACAGGGTCCCAGTTACATCCAACAATAAAATGTATAAGAAAAACAGTAATAAGATCTAAGATATGAACCAAGAAAAACATCAACTAAATATACACTAAGCACTCATAACATAAAACATTGAACATCAGCACAAACATGAACATGAGTCTGTGAGCAGATGTGCACGCATGAACACATCAACAATGAAACAGATCAGCAGCAACATGAAACAGATCAGCAGCAACATGAAACAGATCAGCAGCAACATGATGTGATTTTTCACTGTGATTATTCTGGTTAGAGATTCATGAGTCTAACAGCCTCAGGGTAGAAGCTGTTCCTCAGTCTAGTGGTTCTGCACTTAATGCTCCTCAACTTCCTTCCTGAGGGGAGTGGGGGAAAAAGTGGGTGTGCTGGGTGAGTGTGGTCCTTCATGATGCAGGTGGCCCTATTCCTGCATCTGGAGGTGTAGATGTCTGTGATGGTGGGGAGACTGACTCCGACAGATTTCTGTGCAGCCTTCACCACTCTCTGCAAGGCTTTTCTTTCTGCAGCTGTGCAGCCTCCATGCCACACATTGATGCTGGAGCACAGGATGCTCTCCACTGCACACCTGCAGAAGGAGGTGAGGACTGAGCTTCCCAGACCAGCTCATCTCAGCCGTCTGAGGAAGTAGTCTCTGATGAGCTTTCTTGATCAGGCTGGTGGTGTTGTTGCTCCAGCTGAGGTTGTCGTTCATGTGTACACCCAAGTACTTGTAGCTGGAGACCACTTCCACTACAGATCCTCTTATGTTCAGGGGGGTGTAGATGTGTTTGTTCCTTATGAAGTCCACAATCATCTCCTTTGTCTTCTTCACATTGATTTGAAGGTTATTCTCTTTGCACCAGCTCTCCAGGTGTTCCACCTCCTGCCTGTAGCTGGACTCATCATTGTTTGTGATGCATCCCACCACCGCTGTATCATCTGCAAACTTTACAATGTGACAGCCTGGATGGGTAGCTGCACAATCATACGTGGGCAGAGTAAACAGGAGGGGGCTCAACACACATCCCTGAGGATGAATAAATATCTACATAAATATCTACGAGTGTAGTTAGGGGCTAAGTTTGTTGTTTAAGTTTATTGTGTTAGTTGTGCTATTTTTACCGTTTTACGGCTCGGTTAGTTTCGTCGTTAACCTGACTCGACGGAGCAGCAGCGTTGAGCCTGTTCAAACTGTCTCCATGTTTGTGCGACTCAGATCCTCCATCATTACCGATCCAGCTGAATGAGAATCGAGCCGACTGCCTTCCTCCTGAACTTCCACCCAAAGACTTCAGAAGACGAAAACCCCCGTCCAAGGTTGGAAAGAGGCTGAAGTTTAAAATAAAATCGTGTAATTTTATGCACTAAATTGTGTCAGACTAAAACTACCAAAGTTTAAAAGAAAAACACAAAATCAGAATCCAGACTTTTTTTTAAATCTCTGGCCCACGTGGACCTAAATGTTTGAATGACTTTATTTTTGTTCTCAGGACTACACCGAGTGCCCCAGCCCCGTCGTAAAGAAACCTCCCGTGAGTTTCTCCCCCCTCTGCTGCCCCGACTGGCTGTTCCGTGTTTTTCATGGTTACAGCTGATGTACACTGAATTGTATCGAGTGCAGAGAAAACTTCTTGGATTGTTCTTTACTCTGCCCGTCTCGCTCTGACTCCAGGTTTACTTTAAAAAGATTTTCCACGGCAGTCCTCTGAAAATAAACTGCTCCACAATGTGGGACAATCCTGCTTCCAAAGGTTGGACCTGCAGTCGATTTTCTGCTTTCTTCCATTTGACGAAGTTTCCGTGTGACCGTCCTGTGTCGTCTTCCTCCCTCAGAGCAGCATCTGATCCTGGGGGCGGAGGAGGGGATCTACACCCTGAACCTTCACAGCTCCGAGGCCACCATGGAGCTGGTAGGATATTTAATCATGTTTAAAACCAGCCCCAGAGGACAACCATGAACTGAACGAGTCAAATACTGCCTTGCTTCTTAAAGAGCCTGCGGACATGTTTGTTTTGTTTCCTTTCAGCTGTACCCTGGGAGGTGTACCTGGGTCCACAACGTCAATAACGTCCTCATGTCGGTATCAGGTAAACAACATCAACCATAGTGAACTTTTACTTCTTCTTCCAATAAACGGACAGGGCCGGAATAAATCTGCCAAAACTTGGGAACTGCTGACGAAGAAAACAAAAGTGTTTCATCCTTACTGAACCTTTAGATATGAAAGTTATCCATCAAGTCTAAATCAAGGCTTCACGTCCGTTTAATGGTCGTTTAACAATGGTGGTGTTAGCAAAATATTTCATCAACCGCTGAACAACAGTACCGGTAATAAAACTTCTGAACAACTCATTAACTTTTAGACTTGACTCTAGATGGCAGCCACAGCTAATCAACCTTAGCCAAAACAGAAATGACGTCAGTTTTACAGATGACGTAAAAGTTGGTGTTGGTAGCTGAGAGTCGTCCCCAACACTGACTCTGAGAGCTCACAGAACAGGAAACCTTCCATCCAACCAACCATCAACATCCATCCATTCAACTGTCCATCCATCCAACATCCAACCAACCATCCAACAACCAACTATCCATCCAACCATCTATTCATCCATCCCTCTATCCATCTATTCATCCATCCACCATCCAGCCATCCATCCATCCAGCCTCTTGTTTTGGACTCAGGTCTCGGGGGCAGCAGCTTGAGCAGGGAGGTCCAGCATCTCTCTCCACAGCCACCTCTTCAAGCTCTTCTGGGTGTTCTTCAAGGTGTTCTCAGATCAGCTGAGACATAGTCTCTCCGGTGTGTCCTGGGTCTTCTCCAGGATCTCCTCCCAGTTGGACATGTTAAGAACGCCTCCCTTTGGAGGCATTTAGGGTCTATCCTTACCAGATATCTCAGCTGTCTCCTCTAGATAATGAGGAGCAGTGGTTCTATTCCTAATCTACTAGGGGGAGTGCTGGCGCAGAGGTTGGAGAAGATGGGCCTGTGATCAGAAAGTCGCAGGTTCAACTTCCGGTACCGTCAACAACAAAATGTGTGTGGTAAAGGTGAAATACCCATACCTGCCTCCACCCTCATTCGCCCCACCCTAGGCCCCTGAGCAAGGCCCTCAACCCCCACCATCTGCTCCCTAAACAGGTCTCTCTTGAAAATGAGTTCTTGTGACTCATTGAGACTACTGTACCTGCATAAATGAAGGGTAAATGGAAAAAAAAAATCTCTCCTGGAGAACTGAACTTCTCACCCTATCTCTAAGGAGAGTCCAGCTACCCTGCAGAGAGAACTCATTTAGACCGCCTGGATCCAGCATCTGGTTCTTTCATTCACTACCCAGAGCTCCTGACCATAGGTGAGGGTATGAACATAGACCGACCGGTAAACAGAGAACTTCTCTTTGATCCTAGGAGCTCTGCTGTCAGGGGGTGGCCCCTGATAGGTTCTCCAAGGCAGTTTGGTCTGGGGTATCAGGACAGACAGAGAGCAATTCAGAACACTCGTATGGACAGAAGACATCAGGGCCCTGTGGGCCCATCATCTGCAGGAGGAGCCATACAAGGTGGTTCCACAGGCAGCAGCTGATGGTGAGGGCCTTGGCTCACCAAAGCCAGCTCTTCAGCTGATCAAACCAGCTAAAATTATCTGGTTATTATCTTATTAACAAAAGCTGGTCTGAGTTTATAACACTGGCATGACAGGCAGTGGTTCAGAGAAATGTATCTCCTTAAGTAAGGCTTCACATTTAGTGTTAAATACGTTTCTGTGATTAATGTGATGTGATGATGATATGTTTCTGAATTCAGTTTTGTTTTCAGGTAAATCCTCTCAGCTCCACTCTCATTCACTGAAAGAGTTGTACGAACATGCTCGGAAAGACCAGAGGATGGTTCCCTTACCGACCCACAGACTATTGTCGAGGTAACACCAGACTCTTCTTCAGACAGGGTTTTATTTTGAAAGGATGGACTCCAGTTAAAAACGTTGTGTGGTTTGTTTAGAAAAGGTCCGGTGACGTGTAAAATACCAGATACAAAAGGCTGCAAGACCTGCTCAGTTGGTGAGACGAGACACTCCACTGTGGACAAAACATATAGAGATGTGAAGTTAAATTAGTTTAGTAGTTTCTCTTCTGTCAGTATTTTTAAGACATTTCTAATCACTGAAGATTATATATGACATTATATTTAATTACTAGCATTATAATACATTATATTTAATTTTAAAACTGTACAGTTTTCAGCATCTGTTACCTCTGTGAAGTCAGTAAATGTAGTTTCTTTGCATTTCAGGAGGGAACTTGCAGCGAGGTTGTGTGTTTCTGTGCTGTGCTCTGGACTCCAGTGTGGTGCTGCTGCAGTGGTACGAGCCCATGCACAAATTCATGCTCATCAAGGTATGCAGACTAAAACAACATTCTTCACCACTTGGGGGGATAAAAGTGAGTTTATTTGTTGTTTAAACAGTTCTTAGCCAGCCGGTAGCAGTGAACAAGGGTCTGAATTGCCTGCGTGCACACAGGAACCGTTTTCCCTTAGAACACCTTCTGAGGTGTCGCTGGGAAAATGAACATCAGGGTTTCCCTTTTAGAACCTTCACAGTTACTCACTGAAAAAAATAGAAGGAAACTGGGAGCGTTGCAACATTAAGAGCCTGAAACCTCCGTCGTTTTTGCAGCATTTCGACTTCCCCCTCCCCAACCCCCTGCGGGTGTTTGAGATGGTGGTGGTGGCCCAGCAGGAGTACCCTCTGGTGTGTATCGGCGTGTCTCGGGGCTCAAACCCTAATGTCCCAGTCAACGTGGATTATATCAACCTGAACTCCAGCACGTCCTGGTTCTTCCACTCCGGCCTGGGTACGCTTGTCCGGCTCTCATTACAAACTGAATAATGCAGTCTAGATTCTCAGGAAATAGTTGGTTCTTATTGTCACTGATATGGACCTGTATGTGTTTACAGAGAAATCCAGTCCAGATGTAGTTCAGGTAAACCAGCTGGACCACAACTCACTGCTTGTTCTCATGGAGAGTAAGTGACACAAGTTAACAATGGTTAAGCTCTTGACATTGGTCTGGATTGTACCGTTTCACGTGTTTAGTCTGTAGTAGCTATTACTCCAATGGATACTGGAATCACTAAATAAATCAATTTGACACTTTTGATTTCTGTACTGACAGCAAAATCAGGGTTTATTTAAGATACTGTGGAAAAACTGAACAGCTCAAATACCAAATGAACACACACACACACACACACACACCCCAGGGGGCATTCTCAGACCTTTTTTATACACTCCTGACAAGTGCAGACACATACGTTGTTTTTGCCAACAATTGTCCAGTACAAAAGTTCTCAGGCCTCGAGGGCCGGAGTCCTGCAACCTTTAGATGTGTCCCTGATGCCACACAGCTGAATCATATGACTGAATTAGCTTCTCAGTGCAGTCAAGTTCTCCAAAGTCCTGCTAATGACCTCCTTATTTGATTCAGCTGTGTGGCATCAGAGACACATCTAAAAATTGCAAGACTCCGGCCCTCGAGGCCTGAAGTTTGACACCTGTGCCGTAAGATAAACACATTCTTTCCATGTCATTCTGGCTCCAAAACCATTTCCATATTTTTTAACACTACATCTTGCTGGGGCCTTGTTATACAAGTGATTGCCCCACTTTTTTAAATAAAACTTTTAAATCCTACAATCCTCCCTGTTTGAGGAAATTCCTCAAATAAACTAATGCTGCCAAATTTTCTGATATATTTAGTAATACATAAATATGTAAGTGTGAGATTATGAGTAAGTGTGAGATTAAATTATCCTTATACATGACTTTATATTGTGCTGTGCACTGTGATAAAATGATAATGTAAAATAGTGGCGTGATAGCAGCTAAAACTTATGATCTTACTTAAAACAAAATATGATCACTCAGTCATTTCATCAGATAGCTGCCATTGCTTCCTGAGGTGGCAAAAAAACTGGTTGCTGTCATTTACAGGAAAAAGGTCTCCTCAAAATTGGACCCCTCAAACTAGCTTCTTTTAAACTTTAATTATTTTACCTAGGAGTTGTCTTTTAGTTTCACATTGCACCGGGTCCTCGAGGGGTCATCAGAGTTTGCCCATCTTGTCTACATGTGTTTTGTGAACTTGGAAAAGGCACTGGACCGTGTTTCATGGAGTACACTGTGGAGGGTGCTCCGTAAGTATTGGATTGGAGGCCCATTGCTATGGGCTGTTTGGTCGCTATATAAGTGGTACAAGAGTTTGAGTCGCATTGCCAGCAGTAAGTTGGACCCCTTCAGGGTATGAGTTGGACTCTGCCAGGGCTGCTCGTTATCACAGATTCTGTTCATAACTTTTATAGACAGAATTTCTCGATGCAGCCAGGAGGTGGAGGGAGTCCAGGTTGGTGGCCTCAGGATTTCATCTGAGATCTTCAGATCTCAGACCACATCATCTTTGCAGATGATGTGGTCCTGTTGGTGTCATCATGCTGTGATTTTCAGCTCTCACTGGAGCAGTTCACAGCCGAGTGTGAAGCGGCTGGGATGAGAATCAACACCTCCAAAACTGAGGCCATGGTCCTCAGTCAGAAAAGGGTGGATTGTTCTCTTCGAGTTAGGGTTTAAGGTTCTGCCTCAAGTGGAGGAGTTCAAGTATCTTGGGGTTTTGTTCACAAGTGACAGAAGACTGGAGCATGGGATTGAAAGATGGATTGGTTCAGCGTCTGCAGTATTGCGGACTCTATACAGGTCCATTGTGGTAAAGAGGGAGCTGAGTTGTAAGGGAAGCTTTCTGTTTACCGGTCAGTCTATGTTCCTACCTTCACCTATGGTCACAACTCTGGGTTGAGATTGAAAGAATGAGATGGTGGATACAGGCGGTTGAAATGAGTTTCCTCTGCAGGGTAGCTGGACTCTCCCTTAGAGATAGGGTGAGAAGTTCAGTTATCCGGGAGAGACTTGGAGTAAAACCGCTGCTCCTCCACATCGAGAGGAGCCAGGTGAGGTGGTTCAGGCACCTGGTAAAAATGCTTCCTGGGCACCTCCCTAGAGAGGTGCATCGGGCTTGTCAGACTGGGAGGAGACCCCAAGGAAAACCCAGGACACGCTGGCGAGACTATGTCTCTCGATTAGCCTGGGAAAACCCAGGTCCTCCCTGAAGAGCTGGCAGAGGTGGCTGTGGAGAGAGAGGTCAGGACCTCCCTGCTCAAGCAGCTGCCCCCGCGACCCAATTTCAGAACAAGTGGAGGATAATAGATGGATGGATAATAGGCTATTGTGGAAAGACTAATAAATATTTGCTTTATATGTCCGCCATATTTAAATGTCACTTAACCCATATTCTCAACTCCCTTGCTCCTCTTAAAACACAATCTGTTACCTTTACTCATTCTGCCCCCTGGTTTACCCCTGAACTCCGGTCCATCAAAGCCAAATGTCGTCAACTGGAACGACTCAATAAAAAAAATCTGGTCTTACAATCCAAAAGGACATGTACATCTCTCAGACATCACATTACAAGATCTTAATATCACAAACTAAATATGCTTTCTACTCTGGCCTCATTTCCTCCCATAAAGGTAACACCAAGATCCTGTTTTCATTGTTAAACAATACTTTTCATCCCCCTGACTCTCTTCCCTCTTACTTCTATTCAGATGGTAAATGATAAATGGACTGTACTTATATAGCGCCTTTCTATCTTATTTCAAAGATAGAAAGGCAAAGATGACACCTGTAATTCTCTCGTTCTTTTTTAATGATAAAATCGGAAAAATTCATCAGCAACTTTGTCTCTCCTCTTCCTCCCTCCTCTGAACCTTCTCCCCTCTGTCAGCATTTTTCTGTCTTTCAGCTTCCTACTGCCTCTGAAATAACTGAACTCATTCTGAAATCATCTACTTGTTCTCTGGATCCTCTCCCAACAGTGCTTGTAAAATCTTGCCCTTTTTTCACTTCTCCCTATCATTTCTGCCACTCTTCTCTTTCTTCAGGAACTGTACCAACTATTTTCAAAACTGCAGTTGTCACTTCGATCCTTAAGAAGCCTGGATTGGATCCAAATATTTTCAATAATCTTCGCCCTATTTCTAACCTTCCATTCATTTCTAAAATTCTGGGGGGGCGGAATCCTGCGGATGCATGTAAACTCAAAATACGACCGTGTCAACACGGATCTTTTCCTCTAATTAACATACAAAAAAATATATGTTTTCCCCCATTGTGTCCGTGTAAATAGGGCCTAAATCATTCAGATCCCACTCCTCCCCTGTCACTTCAGGTGTGCCCCAAGGCTCTATCCTGAGGCCCCTTCTTTTCATCATCTACCTTCTCCCACTTGGCAATATCTTCCGTAAATTTAACAGTCACTTTCATTGTTTTGCCAACAACACCCAGCTCTTCTTATCCACTGCACCTAATTCTTCGCTTCCTCCTTCCTTCCTCACTTCCTGCTTAGCTGATATTAAATCCTGGTTTACATCTAACTTCCTTAAATTAAACAGTGATGAAACAGAGTTTCTACTCATCGGCACTAAAGCCACCATATCTAAAGTCAACAGTTTTTCTCTCACCATTGACAGCTCCATGGTCCCCCCCCCCCCCATGTTAAGAGTCTGGGTGTCATTCTTGACAGCACTCTCTCTTTTCACTCTCACATCATATTAACCGGTCTGCATACTTCCACCTTCGAAACATCAACCATCTCCATCCATCCCTCTCCCCGCACTCTGCTTCCATCTTGGTCCATAGTTTGGTCATTTCTCGAATTGATTACTGCAACTCTTCTTTTTGGTCTGCTGCAAAAATTACTCCGTAAGCTTCAAATGTTTCAAAATTCAGCTGCCCGCATCGTTACCAAAACCCCCTCATTTCACCACATCGCCCCAGTTTTACAGCAACTTCACTGGCTTCCCGTCACTTTCAGAATTCAATTTAAAATCCTGTTGTACACATTCAAGGCCATCCATAACCTCGCCCCTCCCTATCTGTCCGATCTCCTGCACATTGTCACCCATTCACGCTCTCTTTGTTCTTCCTCCTCCATCCACCTCAACGTGCCTCTCGTCCACCTCAGCACCATGAGACACAGAGCCTTTTCTCACTCTCCTCCCCAACTCTGGAACACTCTTCCCCCAGACATCCATAATACTGACTCCCTTCAGACCTTCAAATCACAGCTCATATCTCATCTGTTCAAGTTAGCCTTCTCACTTTAATTTTTTGATATTTTCTTCTTGGTTTAGTGTTTTTAAAGCCATTTTGTATTGTTTTATTTTGTGTTTTTAATGTTGTGAAATGTCCTTAGGTGTCTTGAAAGGCGCTAACAAATAAAATGCATTATGATTATTAAATGTGGATATTTTTGTTGGCGTGAAATATTTGTGTTGGTCGGTTTGTCTCAGTAGTCCTAAAAGAGGTTTAGTTTTTGTGCGATCTGGAGTTGATATTTCAGTCTTCGTTATTCAGACATAGTGAGAAACGTTCTTGTATTAACGAGCTCATTATTTGAGTTATGATCCATCGTTCATATTTCCTCGTTGACAATGCAGATGGCTTCACATCGTAACTCCATCTCTTCTGCAGGGTCGGTACAAATAGTTGGTTTAGACGGAGAGCTGAGGAGCAACAAACATCTTCCTCATGAAACCACCTTTCCTCATGACGTCGAATCAATAGGTGAGAACAACCGGAGACAAACCAGTGGAGATCATTTCTGGTAATGAATGACTTGTTTCAGACTTCTTTTGTTTGTTAGAGTGTAAAATCTCAAACGTATATTTAAGAGTGCCTTTATTAAAACATTAACACAACAAACATGCAGATCTTCTCTAAAATGAGCGTCTCTATCAGGGATAATGTGCGATGACCGTTAGCAGTAGAGCATTCTACGACGCACACAATATAACAAGACACTTCCGCCATAGACAACGGGGGGCTGGGGGGGGGGGAATTAGTTCTTATTTATTCTTATCTCTTTATTATCATTGTACCAAGATACAGTGAGATTATGTTCGTACAGTCATCCAAAAGATGGGCAGAGTGCACGTTGCTGCTGCTACAGGAGCGTGGCCTCTAATCCTTTATCAGAATACTTTTTTAGATAGAAAAAGGTAAAAGGCCATGAGGATGTATTACAAAAATATCTCTTCACATCTTGTCCTATCAGGACACAATTTAAGTTATCTAAACTCTACACATGCATTTGACGTCAAGACGGTGAGATTTGTCCATGAAGCACTTCCAGTTAGACCATAGTCCTGATAAGATGTTGGTGTCAGCCGGCAGTTCTGATAAGCCTGCACAGAAGTTCTTGGGGGGTGGGGAGATAGACAAAGCTTTTTCTTTAGTTTACTCGTGTCCCAGGAGAACTTTGATAGTCTGCTTGTTTTCAAGGCCAAACGGGGGAGTCAGATTCAGATAAGCCACAATTGTTGATTTTCTTCAGGGCGACATTTTTCCTTGTCAGCCTTGAGTCCTGCTGGTACTTTCCAGATCCAGAATGGCCAGATTTGTGGACATTCCACTGATCCATGCTATGAGCCTCATTTGATTTTTAGTACTCGTAGCACGAACCAAACCTTCACACAGACTTGGCAGTTTTGCCATGGCTGAAACTGCTGCCGATGTCTCCCTCAACAGCCGATAACACAGGAACCCGCCGATGCCAAAAAGCAATAACCCTGCTATCACAAATCCAATTATATAAACATCTTCGGCGTCCTCCTGAGACAGAACTGAAAGACACATCAGCTCCCACACCCCCCACGGGTTCATGCCGTATTCTGCAGCGCGAGTCTCAGCGGGACATGAGGGCTCTCCAGGACCCTGTCATTTGTTGAATTTTGTTGATTGCGTTGAAAGTTCAGCTCACCAGATCCATAATAGTATTTTTCGTTCGGAAGATGTGTAACAGGAGCTCTGAGACACAGACAGAGAGCAAAAAGCAGGAGGAAGAGGGGAACAGGGGAGGGACAGGAAAATGTGTCCGCCTTCAGTGAGTGCAGAATGAAAAGAGCTGTCAGGGAGTGAGACACTTTATATTTGTTGTTTTTAGTTCTTCCATTAAAACAACATTTTAAGCTTAGATTAAACCAGAGCTGATGTTGGAGCTGTAGCAGCTGCACTACAACCATTTCAAGCTTCATCAGCAGAGAGTGAAAAGAGATTAAATGAGCTCACAGACGTTTCTTTGTTTCTTCAGTGTCTTTTGAAGATACACTTTTGGTTGTTTGGCGTCACGGCTGGCAGCGGAGAGGAAAAGGTTTCTCAGAGGTGCTGGACGAGACGACGGACCACAGGAAGGTCTACAGGATGGTGAAGTCAGACAGGTGCCTCACATCTTTCCTCTCTGCACATTTTGTTTTAGAAAACTAGTTTAAACGTTTCACGTTGTGCAGTCATAAATCTTATTATTGTAAACTCCTGCCGTGTTTGACCTCTGACCTTCTGACTGCAGGATGATCGTGTTGGAAACGCGTCAAGCCGAAGACCCGTCAGGTCTGTCTAACTTGTACCTTCTGGAAGTGGCTGAGAACTACGTCTCGCTGCCGTGACGCTCTTGGGCACGATGGGAAAGTTCCTGCTGCGTGTGAACGCCTCCGCTGCTTCTCAGCAGGGTAAAAACGAACACACGAGGCGACGACGTTTGTGTCATCTTTACGTTTGACGGGGATCAGTGCGGCTTTATTTTCCACCAACGGAGGAAGTGATGTCAGCGGGAGACTGTCCGGACATTTCAGAGCTGACGAAACCCAAACTGAAGGAAAGTCCTGATTCAAACGGCGAAGAGGAGTGAGTTTGTTCTTCTGCCACAGTATTACTGGTCACAGCAGCAGCCTGCAGAGACTGACAGAATGGCTTCCCTGAAATTCAAGCTGAAGTGAAGCTCGGCCGACGCTCGTGTTGTTTCGTGACCTGGACTCGTGTGTCAGCATCGCATCAACTGTGTTACTGTTGTTACACTCTAATAAAGTTATTTACACAAGATCAGGTCAGCTGTGTTGGTTTATAACAAAAGTGACCGCGCTGTTGGAAACCCAGGTGCTAACTTCAGGTGGCACAAAATATTCAAATGGCAAACTACTCCATCGTCTACACAACAGATAAATGTCATCAGGAGAAACGCAGCAGATTGTCCTGGTTCAAATCCCGGCTGGGGGCCTTTCTGGGTGGAGTTTGCATGTTCTCTTTCTGTGGGTTTTCTCCGGGTATTCCAGAGTGTGAATGTTTGTCTCTATGTGGCTGTGATGGACTGGAGACCTGTCCAGGGTGTCCCCCACCTCTGACACAGTGACTGCTGGACATGGACACCAGCGACCCGAAAATGAAGAAGCAGGTAAAGATAATGGATGGATGGAAGATTGTAGCTCATATTATTAAGATGCTACGTCATAATGATCATGACCTGGTTGATAATTTTACTACATCAATGCAAACTTTACTTGATAAAATAGCACAGTTGAAAAAGAAATTACCAGTAAACATTCAGAGGAAGCTGGCTCCTTGGTTCAATTCTGAGTTACACACTTTAAAACAGGCATCCAGAAAGCTGGAAAGAAAACGGCGCTCCACTGACACGGCATAATTTTATTTAACTTGGAGAAATAGCTTGCTAACATACAAGAAAGCTCCCTGTAAAGCTAGAACTGCATGTTATTCATCTTTAATAGATGAGAATACAAATAACCTCAGATTTCTGTTTAGTAATATATGTATGAGCTGAATGAACCAAACATTTTGATTTATTAACTGTTGAAATAGAACAAAAACTGAGGAACGTGTCTCAAACTGAAGAAAAATTAATCTCAGTGAAAATGATTTGATGACCTGCCGAGTCATTATGACCTGCTGTTGTGGATGAGATGCTCTGTCATGATTATAATGTGCTGAATCAAGATTATGACCTGAGTGATGCTGAGTCATGAAAATGATCTGTTGAGTCATGATTATTATTCCTTCCTTAGATAGAGAACTTTTACTAATTAGCTTTTGTATGTATGTTTTTGCATGTTTGTTTGTATGGGGAGTGATGGGGCAGAGGTTAGAGAAAATGGGCCTGCGATCAGAAAGTCGCAGGTTCAACTCCCGGTACAATCGACATCAAGATGTGGGTGGGAAAGGTGAAACACCTACACCTGCCTCCACGCTCATTTGCCCCACTCTGGCCCCCTGAGCAAGGCCCTTAACCCCCACCACCTGCTCTCAGAAACAGGTCTCTCTTGAAAATGAGTTCTTGTGACTTAATGAGCTGTATAAATAAAGGGTCAATTTAAAAAAAATGTATGTGAATGTTTCTGTTCAGTGCCCTGAGACAACTTCTGTGACTTGGAGCTGTATAAATAAACTGAAATGAATTGAATTATGACCTGCTGAGTCATGATAATGACCTGCTGAGTCATGATTATGACCTGCTGAGTCATGTTAATGACCTGCTGAGTCATGATAATGACCTGCTGAGTCATGTTAATGGCCTGCTGAGTCATGATAATGACCTGCTGAGTCATGATTTCAGATGGGTTTAGTTTGTTTATGAAGTGGCAGGAACCAGTTTCCATGTTTTTCTGCACATATTTAAAGAGAATATAACTTTCTTGTTTGTGCTCTGGGTGTCACTTGAAGCCGGATGTCTCCCGACGCAGTGGCCGGCCGGGCCACGCACCGTCACGCACTTCACGCACGCCGGCTGGTCGGAGCTGCCGCAGCGGGTGGAAGATGCACCGGGCGGACCGGGGGCTCTGCTCGGCCTGGCGGAGCTCGGCTGCTGCCGCTCGTCTTCGTCGCTTCGACTTTTATTCTTGTAGTCTCTTATTTTTATTTTCTTAATCCCGGTTTATTATTTCCAGGTCAGACTCTGCTTCCTGTGCGGCTGGTTGGCTCTAAACATGGCCGGAGATGGCGGCGCTCTGAAGGATATCAATGAGATTAAATCCCAGTTCCGGACCAGAGAGGGCTTCTACAAACTGCTCACCCTCTCCGACTCGCAGCAGCGGGGCGGGCTGCCGCGGGGCCCGTCCGCCGGAGCCACGCTGGGGCCCGGGGCGGGCGCCGGACCGATCCCCGGCGGAGGGGTCGGGCTGCTGCAGGGGCCCGGGGCCGCCGCCTCCTCCAACGCCGCGAGCGGCTCCTCTCCGGCGGGCTTCCTGCCGCCGGTCCGGGTCTCCATGGTGAAGCTGCAGCCCGAAGACCCGAGCGAGGAGTCGGAGCGGGTGTGCTTCAACATCGGCCGGGAGCTTTACTTCTACACGTACACCAACATCAAGAAGGTGAGCCTCCTCCTCCTCCTCTAGCTTAGCCTGCTAACCGCTAGCCCCGATGCTGCAGCGTCTCCTGCACACCGGGGAGACATGGACCGGCTGCTTCCTGTCAGGGGAACCGGGCTGAGCAGCACCAGAACCTGCAGCAGCTCGTGCGCGTTGTGAGGTTCACATCTGGTTCTTCTTAAACCGGATTAAACATCAAACATCTTCAAACGAGAACTGGCTGCACAAGTCTGGATTCGTTGTGGAGTTTCTAACCCTCACAGGGGTGCAGCCAAGTGGGGATCCAAGGGGGCAATGCCCCCTAGATATCTTTGCCCCCCCCCACTGCCAGACAGTTCTCCGTGTATTACAGCTGCAGAATATTATTGTGATAAGTGCACGTGACCATGCTCGTGAGCGTTTAGTGGAGTAGTGGGGTCCACCAGGTCGTCTCTGTATATGTTTAGCACGCAGTTTGTTTATTCAGAACTCCTTTGTGATGCACACGCTGACACACTGTGCACCACAACACACATTCTGAGCCAGTGGTGCCCAATCCCGGCTCTCGACGGCCACTAGCCTGGACCGTGTTCCTCCAGGATTGGAGACCACAGTTCTGAGCGCTCACAAAAGGTTTTAGTTTCAAATGTAGCGATGGATTATCGGAGTCACCTCTGACTGTTATCGAAGTTGTTAGTTCCTGGAACAAACGCTGGATTTATAAATATGCGTAAACTTTCCGCCGGGTTTAGGTCGGGGCTTTGAGAAGGCCCATCAGAATCCAGTTCTGATGTGTTTGGGCTCATTGAACTGTCCAGCTGTTGAACTGAGGTGAAGATGAAGAACCCGGACATAGTCCTCCTCTGTTTTTGGATTAACATTGTGCAGTGCCTCAGTACCACAGCATCATACTACCACCACCATGCTCTACAGTAGCCTTGATCCCTCCAAACGTCCTTCTTGTCATGGAGTCCAAACAGAAGACGTGTTAGCTCATCCATGTGGTCCAGCTGCAGGTTTCAGTCCTGCCTGAGGAGGCGGAGCTTCTGTCTCGGTCCTCACTTGGACAGTTCTTCATCGGAGTGTCGGTCAGTCCAGCTGTCCAACAGAACGTTTCTGTGCTGGTGAAGAGAAACTGCGGCCGCAGTCATGATCACTAATGAAAATGTAATGGGCCTCAAGACAGCCCAGCAGCACTTAGTCAAAGATTTATTTATAAACTACTTTTAAATTTAAACAATTCAAACTTGTGCTCCAGATTCTTGTTTTTGAAACTCGTTGAAGTTGTAATTTTAGAATCATTCCGTCCTGGAAACAGAACGGTTCACATAAATCACGATCCAGATTAAGGACCTGCGCACCCGTTGCGAGCGGATAGAACCTTCTGATCCCAGCAGAACCAGAACAGCAGAACCAGAACAGCAGAACCAGAACAGCAGAACCAGAACAGCAGGTGCTTCTCGTGATGAAAAGTGCAGAAAATGTCTTCACCTCCCAGCTCCTCGTCGCAGAGCTGCTCTCGTTTTAATCGATTCTTAACGAGGAAACCAAACTCCTTTTTGACCGGTGTTTGATCTTTCTGAACACTTTGGCACAACAAAAGCTCTTTGTTGTTTCTCAGAGGTAAATGGTTGTTTCTTGCGCTCTGGTTCTACGTGTCGGAGAGCTCGAGTGTTTCAGGCTCGAGATCCAAACCAGCCCTGAGGCCGTGTCCTGGTCTGCAGGATGACGTGAAACTCGCAAAGCGTCCCTGCAGCCTCAGAGACCATCATTTAAGTTCCCGCTCGTGTTATTATAAGCAGAAGAAACTGTAACTAGAAACGAGTTTCAGCTCAATATCTTTTAAAATAGATGAGTTATCATATTTTTTTTCCCTTTTAGCTAAGGTGGCCATCTTGGATTTTTATTTGCATTAGGAATGTAACTCGCTCTCAACTAGCACCAGACCAAACTTCAGTTCAATCTCTCAAATATCGACTGAGTTATAGCCAATTTCTGAAGTAGCTGTGGCGGCCATCTTGAACCAAAATGGCTCCGAAAGTTAATCTGTGTTTGGTTCAGAGACCTCTTCACTGTCGGTCATGTGACCTCCCTGTGGCAGCTGGAAGCTGTTCAGAGTTCTGTCAGTGTCTTCAATGAGAAAAATGGCGTCTTTGTTGGCAAATTACGTTACCATGGTAACTTGAAACGCCAATAAAAGTACCGTAATGGGACACATCGCGGTGCCGAGCCGGTCGTTTCCATATAAAATTTGTGGGGGCGCACGTTGTGGTTCAGGTCTGCATTAAAGTTGAAGGAAAAGTAAGACTCTTCTCAGGTGGATAATATTTATTGTGGGCTCATCCAAACCAGTGAACTGGACTCTTCTGTCAGCCGGTTTACCTGCGGGGTCATGTGACCCTCTGCATCATGTGACCTGGTTCTGACAAGTCTGCCTCCTGTCTGCTCCCTGCAGGCCGTGGACCTCAGTAAACCCATAGACAAGAGGATCTATAAGGGAACTCAGCCGACGTGTCACGACTTCAACCAGTACTCGGCCACGGCGGAGAGCGTGGCGCTCATCGTGGGCTTCTCAGCCGGTCAGGTCCAGTACCTCGACCCCATCAAGAAGGAAACCAGCAAGCTCTTCAACGAGGAGGTACGAATTTGATGTTTTCACTTCTGGTTTAGCTGGAGCACAGCTTCAGCTGGTCCTCCATGTTTGTTTGTGTTTGGATCTCCGTGCGCTTCCTGCGATCTGTAAAACTTTATTGTAGTAAAAAAAAAAAAAAGTACGTTTTTAAAACGACCGCCCTGGTTCTGAAAAAGAAAACTGACGTGTAAAATGAAATTAGAAACAAAATCAATAAATTGCAAATCTCATAAACTCACATTTCATTCACAGTGAACATGGCAGAAGTTGGACCATTTTTAGAAAAAGATGAGGTAATTTTGATTTTATGGCGGGAAAACATCTAAAAACATCTGTCAGAGGAGGTGGTGCGGACCAGAACCAACTGGAGGAGCATTTTACAAACAGAGTTCATCATCAACAGTCAGTGATGGGGATGAACAGACTTTTAGAAGTAAAGCTGGGCAGAGGTTCAGCAGTGGGTCTAAAACCAGTGGAACTCTTTCAGAACAAAGGTCCTGAATAAAGACTAATCAGCATCATCTCCAGTTCATAATCTGATCCACAGATTAGAAGAATCTGAAGAAATCTGAGCTCAAAGGACGAGGCGCTCAGGGGCCACTGCATTAAAACCAGGTCTGGTTCTGGTTCTGTTCACACACAGTCCATCCACAGATGCTGCTTAAAGCTCTATCAGACAGAAAGAAGAAGCCAGATGTGAACGCTGTCCAGAACCGCTGCCGTCCTCTCTGGACCAGAGCTCGTTTCAGATGGACTGAGGTGAAGCCCAGAACGGTTCTGAAGTCAGACGGGTCCAAATCTGAGGTTCTGTTTGGAGGACACCATGTCCTCTGTACTAAAGAGGAGAGGGACCATGCAGACTGTTATCAACTCACAGTTCAAACAGCTGCCTCTCTGATGGTATCGGGGTGCATTAGTGCCTCTGACACATCTGGAATCATTCCATCAATGCAGAGAAACATCTGTAGGTTTTAGAGCATCTGATCCCATCCAGGAGAGAAGGTCCAGGACTGAAGAACATCTAGAGTCCTCCGTCAGACCAGACCACTCCTGAACCTCCAATAACTGGTCTCCCCAGGTTCTGGACTGTTCGAAGTCCTGGTCCATGTTTTTGACGTGTTGATGCCATGAAATTCAGTCTTTCCTTGTTTTTGTCCAGAGACGGTCGAACATCTCAGTTTAAACCTTCATTGTGTTAAAAATGTTTTAGTCATTTCCTCCTTCCTGTTTTTCAGAGGTTGATAGACAAATCCAAGGTGACGTGTCTGAAATGGCTTCCAAAGTCGGAGAACCTGTTCCTGGCCTCCCACGCCAGCGGCCATCTTTACCTCTACAACGTGGACCACCCGTGCGGCACCGCGGCGCCGCAGTACTCCCTGCTGCGGCAGGGCGAGGGCTTCGCCGTCTACGCCTGCAAAAGCAAGACTCCACGCAACCCGCTGCTGCGGTGGGCTGTCGGGGAGGGAGGCCTCAACGAGTTCGCCTTCTCCCCGGACGGTGTGCACGTGGCGTGCGTGGGCCAAGATGGCTGCCTCCGGGTGTTTCACTTTGACTCCATGGAGCTGCAGGGGGTGATGAAGAGCTACTTCGGCGGGCTGCTCTGCGTGTCCTGGAGCCCTGACGGCAAATATCTCGCAACGGGCGGCGAGGACGACCTCGTCACCGTCTGGTCGTTTTCCGAAAGCCGCGTGGTGGCGAGGGGTCACGGCCACAAGTCTTGGGTCAACGTGGTGGCGTTTGACCCCTTCACGACCTCCCTGGAAGACGAGGAGCCGATGGAGCTCAGCGGCAGCGAGGAGGACCTCCACCAGGGGGCGCAGAATAACTCCATGCACTTTGGGCGGGTTCGAACGAGCAGCACGTTGTCGCGGCTGTCGCGGCACAGCTCGAAAGGCGGCGGCTCGCCTTCGGTCACGTACCGGTTCGGCTCGGTGGGGCAGGACACCCAGTTCTGTCTGTGGGACCTGACGGACGACGTATTGTACCCCCGCCTGCCGCTGTCTCGGGCGTTCACTAACACCTTTGGGCCTTCGCTCCCCAACTCTGGCAGCGGGGGGGTCAACAGCAGCTCTGGTGGGGGAGGGAGCGGCGGGGTTGAGGGACACCATCACCCACCGAGCACCAACACCGGCACCTCCAACCCCCCCACGCTCCCCTTACCGCTCCCACGCTCCCTCTCACGCTCCAACTCCCTGCCCCACCCCGCGGTGGCAAACGCCTCCAAAAGTCAGAGCGCCTCCGAGGGCGGCGGAGGGGGCGGAGGAGGCGGCGGGAGCAGCGGTGGGGGAAACAGTACGCCGTTCAGCATCGGCCGCTTCGCCACGCTGTCCCTCCAGGAGCGCAAGTCGGACAAATCGGGAGGAAGCGGGGGGGTGGAGAAGGAGCACAAGCGGTACCACAGCCTGGGCAACATCAGCAAAAGCAACGACAAGATCAACGTGGCGCCGAGGAGCAACCGGCTCGACGGCGCCAAGGTCCTGGGCACCACGCTGTGTCCGCGCATGCACGAGGTGCCGCTGCTGGAGCCGCTGGTCTGCAAGAAGATCGCCCACGAGAGGCTGACGGTGCTGGTGTTCATGGACGACTGCATCATCACGGCCTGCCAGGAGGGGCTCATCTGCACCTGGGCCCGGCCCGGGAAGGCGGTACGTCTTCTCCAAATCAGAAATACGCTCAGAGAGGAGGCTCGGTGGACGACCACAGAGAGGATGTGCTGAATGACCAGTGACGTTAGCCCAACAGGCTGAAAGGAGCAAAATGCTAGCTAAAAAACAAAAGTCTGAAAGGACAAACTCAAAGTAGCAAAAGGTTAGCTAAAGGCTCAACGTAGCAAAATGCAAGCTAAATGTTTAAATTAGGGAAAATACTAGCAACAAGCAGCAAAATGTTAGCGAAAAGCTAAAATTAGCTAACAGTAAGAAAATTCTTATGAAAAGAAAAAGACTTACTAAAAGCTAATAGTAGCAAAAGCTAGTTCAAAGCTCAAAATAGCATAAAGAAATGTTAAAATTTAAGAAAAACGTGCTAGCTAAAAGCAGCAAAATGTTAGCTAAAAGCTAAAGTATGAAAGGGCAAATTAAAAGTAGCAAAAGGTTAGCTAAATGCTCAAATTAGGGAAAAGACTAGCAAAAAGCAAAAAAATAACTAAAAGCTAAAATTAGCTAATAGAAAATTCTTATGAAAAGAAAAATAAAGACTTACTAAAAGCAAATGGTAACAAAATGCTAGTTAATAGCTCAAATGGCATAAATGTTAAAAATTGAGGATAAATACTAGCTAAAAGCAGCAAAATGTTAGTTAAGAGCCAAAGTGTGTTTAGATTTTGTTGTGTCTTCTTCCTGTCATCTTTAAGCCCAGCTTGGTAGATGCACCTTAACCCTGAGTTCTGGTTCTGGTTCTTCTGGAGGTTTCTCTCCGTCAAAAGGGAGTTGTTCCTTTACACTGAATTGAAATTAAAATGTAAAGTAGCTAAAAGCTACAGGTAGCAAAAGGCTAGTTAAAAGCTAAAAGTTGCATTCAGCTAGCAAAAAGCAGGTAGCTAAACGTAGTAAATGTGTTTCTAAAATGATAAAAAAAAAAAAGTAGCAAAAGGCTAGCTAAAAGCTAAAAGTTGCATTCAGCTAGCAAAAAGCAGGTAGCTAAACGTAGTAAATGTGTTTCTAAAATGATAAAAAAAAAAAGTATTAAAAGGCTAGCTAAAAGCTAAAATTGGCATAACAATACAAAATTCAAGCCAGTTTGCAGAAGCAGACTTCAAAGAGAAACACTTTTGAGGAATTGAATAAATCACGTGTTTCTACAGTGAAAATATATCGAAGTATAAAAGTTACAACAAATAAACATCATAGCACCCGTCTCCTGAATGAGCCGAACGTTTTGATTTATGAACAGCTAAATAGTACCAAGTGGGCAACAAAATGGTGAAATGTTTTATTTTCTCAAACTTCAATTGATTTGTTTTAAACTTCAAACACACAGATCTGTTTCTTTTATCTGATTGTTCCACTTTAATCATTTCAGCTCTTGTCCTCCTTCTTCTGTAAACTTTATTTATTCAGTCAGTCTGAGTATTTCTGACCCGCTCGTTAAAGCAGATCGTTCTGGTTCTGTTCGGGTCTAACCTGTTTCCTCCTCTTGTTCAGAACCTGGCGGCACAGAACGGGAGCTCTCCGAGCGGCACGGTGGTATAGCTGCAGGAGCAGCTTCTCACTCCTCCTCATCGTCGGTTCTTCATCGTCTTCAGAGTTTGATGCCGCCTCCACTTCCATATGTTTTACTGGGGCCAACAGGTGGAGAGCACCGCCCCTTCCTGCCGCCGCAGTATTAAACCCCCTGAAGCTCCGTGCGCTCGCCAAAACGAAACGGAGGGAACTCGTCCTGAAGCCTGAAACGATGAAGAGCGTGAACAAATGAGACCGGGCCGATGCAACGTCATGTTGGACGTGTCGAACTCCACAATCATTCCTTCATTTCAAAAAGGCAGAGATGTTTACAAAGTGGGGTTATATGGAGCAGAAATGAGCATCTTACCTGCAGTAGATGAGATCTCCGTTTGGAGAAACTAATTAAAATGAGAACGGTCAGGAATGGTTAAAAAGTAAATTTACATAATTTAAAACTACAACGTTCCTCAGGAGCTGGACCGAGACGTCGGGTTTAAAGCTGAGGTCTGGAGGGTCAGTTTGACCCAAGGGCAGCAGGAGGGTTAAGTCTTCTTGCTCTTTGTCGCTATTTTCAAAACCAAACAACTTCCATGTTTCTCAGTATCTCATGAAAGATGGGCGATTGTGAAATTAATTACCCGTTTGTTTTGTCTGTCAGCGAAATATCGTCTTAACCTCTGGATGAATTTTATTTAAACTTTTAGGGTCGGCTGTCGAAGCTACTGCAGCTTAGTAAACAAAGGAACTATAACTCGGACTGCTTTCTGTAGACCGAGCTGAAAGATGATGGGGTGGTAGCTGAGAGTCGTCTCCAACACCAACTAAAAGCTCGCAGGATGCACGCATGGTGGCGGGCGATATGCATTCTGTCAGAGGAGCCCAGTTTTATCAATATAGTTTTTGCGTAAACGGCTGAGAACGTTTGGAGTCGTTTTAAAAAAAAATGTAAATTGACTGAGCAGCCACCCTGACTCTGCTGCAGGTAAGACACTGACTGCTCCTAATATTATTCAGCTATTTTTAATTTTCGTCCAAGAATCTTTCACATCGTTTTTTATTTTTATTTTACTTTTTTAGCTCGGCTTGAAGATCTTAAATCCTTCAGTAGAGAGAGGTTTTAATAGGGTGGCCATGTGGAGGGCTACCAGTATTTTAGGGGTGGCCATGCCCACTACTGGCCCCTCCTTGGAGGCGCCCCTGCCTGTTGAACTTCCAGCTTTAGGCTTTTCTTCTTCCTTTTTAAAAGTTTCAATTGTTTTAGTTTCAGGACGAGTTTTCCACTTTCTGCTCCTGAGAACAAAGTGACCCCCCCAGGAACGAGCTTCATTCTTCAAGCAGAGACTCTTGGCAAGCCGCGGTCATGGTATTTAAGTTATTTATTTGTTCAGGAGACTGTGGAGTAATTTATACTGTAAATAGACAGAAGAGTTCAGGGCTCTCAGGAGTCACAGGAACATATTAAATATGGAGAAGCTTCTATTGTACAGAGCACCACCAGGGATAAACTGAATGTTTTAGGGAACTTGAAAACGTCACTGTGTGTTTTGTTGTTCTTTGATTTGGAGCGATCGTTTCTGCAGGTCTGTCCTTGAAAGCAGCTGAAGTTTAACGAACAAACACTCTGACACATTCCGACCCGCGAGGAAGGCTCGCGCACAAAAACACAACCTCGTTCCGGTGTAGCATCGTTTATTCTGTGTTTCGGATCCTCGTTGCACCTGAATTGCCTCTTGCAGGAATTTGCACATCCAATAAATCCACAGTCCGAGCTGAGCTGCCGCAGTCGTCGTCGTCGTCGCTCCGGGATAAAAATGTGACTTCTGCAGGACGTCGGTTTGGATTCTGCTGCTTTAACTTTGCTTTTAAACTCCTCGCAGTTCGTTTTGGTTCAAGAAGAAACGAGAAGGTTAAAAAAAAAAGGCCCAACGAAAAGTATTCTGTGATTATTTCAAATTAAAACGTTCAGTTTAGTAAATGAAACGGATCCAGATTATTCACCTCATAATCTCTGTACTGAAATCATTATGAACATTTATGTCCGTTCCTCCGTTTCCTGGACTTTAAGGAGCATTTTGAGAATAATTATAGAGCAAACGTGTCCAAGTCCGAATGTGAAGAAGTTCTGAAGTTTTGTAAAATGTAAAGACACAAAATTTACAGATTTTAATAAACCCATAATTTATTTAAAGTGGAACAAAGTAAATATCAGATGTTTGAACAAGAAACTATTTCTGAGAGAGCTGAGTTACAAGAAGATCAGAGGAGTTCCAGGTCCACGTACCTCCAGGACCTGAGGAGACCAGTTGTTGGAGGTTTGTGAGGTTCTGAGAAGACCAGTTGTTGGTTTAGGAGGACCTGAGGAGACCAGTTGTTGGTT